CTTATTGCAATTAATGGCTGGGATTATAAAGCAATTGCAGTGTAGATGGTAATATGTTATTTGCGAAATAGTATGATCATTCTACTGTGCCAGACTACGCTGCAGTACCTATTCAGGTGCTAATTGCCTCTAAAAATCTTAAACATCCATTTTAAGGTGCAACTAATGAAAATATATTTCTTTATTCGTAATAGTAAATATATATATATTGCCATCTTTTAGCTGCCGTTTTTGATTGGCTCTCTGCTTCTCGTCCCGGTGTCCTTGTGGATAAAGAACTGGAAAACCATTCAGCTGCTGATCGCGGTCTTTCAGACGCTATCGACGTTGCTCTATTATTTGATTCCGGAATCGCCTCGGTGGCTGATCGCCAGCAACAGGATGAGGGAAGCGGAGATCATCATCAGACGCGCCTGCAACGTCAACAGAACGACACTGCCGCCAAATCTAGAGCTAGTAGGTGCCTCGCATCTTATAAAACGTACAGAGCCATCATGAAAGATTATTTAATCATTTCTGAAATGTCCCATCGTAATCCGTGACGTTAAAAATATGAATTATGTGGTTTAGATAAAACATCCGGAACAGCAGCAGTGGATAAAATCCGGAAAGAAGCCGAACTTGTTCCAGATCCTTAAGTCATCTGAAATCCTGACCAGAACTGTTGTTATATCCGTGCTTTGGGTGGCAACGCTGCTCAACTGCTATGCCGTGTTGGTCTGCCTTGCTGACGCTCTTAATTCGGAGAGAACCGTAGTTGACATTGATTTCTTTTTGCGGAACACCATTCTTGGAGCTTTGGAATTGCCCTCCCTTATTCTGTGTTTGCTCATTTCAAGGTGAGAAGCAGTTTGCAGAAATTGTAGTCTGTGAAATTTAAATTTATGAAAAAACTTTTTGTTTTGAAATTCAGACATATGAAGGCATACGGTTGACAGTCCAGTTGTTCACTAAACTAAACTATGGTGGTAAGATGGCGGCAAAGGACAGTTAATTAAAGGACTTTGCTGCCTTAAAGAATGTTGTGCCTTGACCTTGACAAAACGTTTAATGTGTTGAAACGTTCTGCGTGTATTAGAAGGAAAGTAGAACAATGAAAGGAAGATTTTGACCTTCGGTTCATTAAGCTTTCATGGGATCACTTTTGGTGTCATACTTTTCACGAAGTTTAGAGTAAGATGCTGATCTCCATTTTCATTCCATCAGCTAAAACTGGGTCATTTTGTAAAGGCGTTGTTTGCAACAGCTGTGGCTTGCATGGTGTGTAATCTCATGTTTTCTTCTCACATAGTGGTACTCAGCTATAAGCCCCAAAAGCAAAAAAGGCGCTACACGACTAAGATGTGAATCCGGAATTTCTCGGTTCGTAATCCGACGCTCTACCGACTGAACAATCACGTTATTAGAAGAATAGTCACTGGGGAAAATATTTTCAGCAGTTACACGGTAATTTAGTTTACAACCCAGTGCAGAAGGATATTATCCTCAGAAATAGTTAATAACGCGTGAGGTCCGTTAGAGCTTTTATATATACCTATAATAATATATTTAGTGTTAGTTAATTTTTGTAATTTTTCACTGAAATTTTTATGATAAGGTAGAATTATGACGTTCATTATTCAAACTTTTACTTTTGGCATTATTGTTGTGTATGTAAAAAATAACATTTTCGCAGAACGGACTTCGGAAATCAAGTGTGTCCATTTTGAAGAAAGGCCGATTGACCAAATTGTTTGCGTTATGCATGAATAAGCCGTGCTTTTATACAGTTAGTAGTGTTTAAATGAAACATACGATGTTATGAAAAATGACTACATCCGAGTGACAGCATACTTTTCTCCATTAATTCTTTTAAACTTGCTAACCGATGATATTACGGTTGTCACTCGAATTAAACGAGCTTGTGCATTCGTTACTCCGTTCGCTTCTGCTAGCCATCAGATGTTGCAATTCTTTAATTAATTGTCCTGTGTTCGTTCTCTTGTTGTCAACAAAAGTGACGTTCGTCGAACTAAAGGTGTCACGAATAGAAAGCATGGGAAGTGATATCAGAGTGCTGTTTTGCCATGCGTCAGCTACTAGATGTTTTGCAATCGTTTTGTCAAATTTAGCGTTTTACCCGTTGTACAATTTGTCGCAGTCATTGCTCTACATCTCATGGTCTACGCTCATCTCATTCGTTATTTCCGGTTGATAAAGTTTCGGATATATCGTGATCCCAATTCGACAGTAGATTCAAAAGCGTTCATTCTCAAGACACTGTCTAATTTTAAATACATGGATCCGTGACCCGCCTAAGTGGACTCCTAGGTGACTAGGAACAAAAGGCTGTGCAATATTGTGGTACAGCTCGGAGTGTCTTCCATCTCTCTTAGACTTTCGCTGCAAAGTAAGAAATCATTTTTTCTTTACACGGTGTTTTTTCGCCTTTTCAATTCGGTGTCATTATTTGTTTGTAATGTTGTACTATCGGAAAGTTTGGGAATGAAGAGGGAGACTACCGTGAAGTTACTTTTACTGTTGGACTTATTTATAACGTTAAAAATTATTTTCAATAGGGTGTCTTAATAGTTTCTGCACTATAGCCATTGTTACGCAAAAAGTTTTGTAAACGTTCAGTTCCTTCATGGTAAGCAGGATAAGCAGGATCTCTGGTCTGTCCGTAAGAAGCATAACTCATACACTTATAATGCTTTTAAAATTAATACAAAATGTCAGCTTATTTCTCAACATTCACGGTTAGCAGTACGAGTAAGACATGATAAATAGAGAGCTACCGTTATGGCATATTCATGTGACCGAAATGAGGATAGTGATGCTTTACATCCTTATGAAACAATACTTTGCTATGATTTAATCTATTTTTCTTCCAATATAAAGGTAACTTCTGGAAAAATTTGGATAAATGACCTCAAGAGAAATCGAAGAGACTGGCGCCCGTTGATAAATCGTATTAAATCAGATGATTAGGCTACAACGAATAGCAGTATATATGTTCATGCATTGGTGTCTGCTCGAAAGTTTGTCACAGCTATTGAATTAGACTACAGATGACTGCGACAGCATGACAGCTACTTGCTCAGTGAAAATTTTGAAGATTTAATTAATTTCTTGATGGTTTATTTTTTAATTTGAGTTAAATTTTTTACTTAAGTGTATTTCAACATTCAACCTGTTTCAGGTATGGTCAGCGAAAGCTGTCTCACCTGGTTCTTTTTATTGCGACCAGTCTGACGATGATC